AAAAAAAAAAAAAAAATAGCCCTTAGAGGCTGACACAGCAGGAAGTGGAGTTATTCATATTTTGCTGACAGGGAAATTGAGACCAAGAGAGATTACAGTCCCGATAGGTTGTGGAACCAACCCCTGAGCCCAGTCCTAGGCTGCCTGCTTAGGTGGAGGCATGTGTAGATTTGCCCCAGGCCATGCTTTGCTTTGGAGTGGTTTCACCAACGTAGCTTGGTCTCTAGAAAGGAACAGGCTCTGTGGAGTCCAGACAAGGAACAGCTGGAAGAGGAGTGGGAGGAAGAATAGTAAGAAAGAGAAGTGGACCCTGGATATGGTTTGGGGCCTGACTTTCTTCCTAACTGTGCAGCATAATTGCTCTGAGCCTTGTTTTCTTCTCTGAAAGATTACATCCTCTCTTGGAGCATGGTTATGAGGCTGGACTGAAATGAAGGTGAAAGTGCAAATGTTGTCAAGTGCAAAGTTGGTGCACAAGCTAGATGAAAAGAGATAGGCCTCGCACTGGTGGGAAAAGACTTCTGGCCCTCCTAGCAACTCTCTCCATTGTGCTAGAAGCCTGGAGTCCTGTCTCTTTCCAATCTGCCACGTGACCCATTGCACAAGACAGGGGTCATGCTGAATCCTCCCAGCTGCCCACTTTGCTCCAAGTCTCCCCAGGCCCGTGTCCACCTTTGCATGGTGATCCTCCAGCTGCTCTCCCTCTCTCACCAGCCACCCTTCTACAGCCGAGATGTGTCCCAGATGTATGAGAACATTCTGCACCAGCCACTACAGATCCCTGGGGGCCGGACGGTGGCCGCCTGTGACCTCCTGCAAGGCCTTCTCCACAAGGACCAGAGGCAGCGGCTGGGCTCTAAAGCAGACATTGTAGGTGACCTGCCGTGGAGCAACGGCCCCCATGGGGCTCGCAGCTTCCTGTAGAGTCAGCTCAGAAGCACATTAACACACATCCTGCTGCCCTCTAAAACCAGCTGCTGCTCACTCGTTCACTTGGAAATTCACTACTGCTACTAGCGGACTACTTTCTCTAGTCTAGCTCTCTTAGTCAGTCAATATTTACTAAGCACCAACTATGTGCGAGCATTGAGCTAGATGCTAGGGATTCAACAGGCTTAGTCTCTGCCCTTACTAAGTTTGGAGTAGGGGCTGGGTGTGGTGGTTCACATCTATAATCCCAGCACTTTGGGAGGCCAAGGCAGGCAGATCACCTGAGGTCAGGAGTTGGAGACCAGCCTGGCCAACATGGCAAAACCTGGTATTTATTAAAGTACAAAAATTAGCCAGTCATGGTGGTGGGTACCTGTAATCCTAGCTACTCAGGAGGCTGAGACACGAGAATTGCCTGAACCTGGGGGTGGGTAGAGGCTGCAGTGAGCTGCCATGGGCACCACTGCACTCCAGCCTCAGCAACAGAGTGAGACTCTGTCTCAAAAAAAAAAAAAGAAAAAAAAAGATGAATGGACTATGAGGCAGACTCCCCTGGTTCATATCCCCCCTTCACCACTTACTAGTTACAGGACCTTAGACATATTGCTTAATTTCTCTCTGTGAGCCTCAGTTTCTCCATTGTAATAACAGCACCTAACATAGCTGTTTTGAAGATCAAATGGACTAGTATTGATGTATGCAAAGCACTCTCATCAGTGTCTGGCACACAGTAAGTGCTTCTTAAGTGTTTGTGCCAAAAGCTTTGCATTCCAGATACTGTGAATTGTAACAACATTTAGGGCATCCGCTGCCCATTCCTGGCCAGCTTAAAGAACAGGGGCTTCCATGAAGATAGGTCTGTTCCAAGCAAAAATTTGCATCATAAAAAATATGTATGACTCTTAAAATAAACTATACATTTATATAGATCAAAATTTAAAGGGTACAAAAGAGTATACAGAAAAAGTCCTTCCAGCCACGCAGTTGCTCAATTCAGACGCAACCAGTGTTGCCAATTCCTTGGGTATTCTTTTGGAGGGGTTTTTTTTTTTCTTTTGAGACAGAGTCTTCTTCTGTCACCTAGGCTGGAGTGCAGTGGTGTGATCTCAGCTCACAGCAACATCCACCTACCAGTTCAAGTGATTCTCCTGCCTTAGCCTCCCAAGTAGCTAGGATTACAGGCACACACCACCACGACTAGCTAATTTTTCTATTTTTGTAGAGACAGGGTTTCACCATGTTGGCCAGGTTGGTCTTCAATTCCTTACCTCAGGTGATCCACCCGCCTAGGCCTCCCAAAGTGCTGGGATTACAGGTGTGAGCCACTGCATCCAGCCTCTTTTGGAGATATTTTGGATCTGGGTTGTTAACCAGCCCACTGGGCTTTCTGATATAGGGAGGTGGAGAATAATTATTTGAGAAACACAGATAGAGGATTCGATAGAAAGTAGTTGGTGTCAATGTTGATTTTGATTAGGAAAGGTGGTGAATCATGACCAGGGCTGAGTCCTAAAGTCTGGGTGTCTGGGAATCTGAAGGTTTCTTGGGGGCTTTATTTTTTGCACCTTCCCTGGTGAGTTGATTTAGTCTATTTCTCTGGTTTGCATACTGGAAAACTCAAGATGTACAGAAGCAGAAGGGGAGGGGTCCCTAAGCTCCCGCTGGCACCACACCCCCAAACCCCACAGCAGATTCTGCTGTCTTATTCACTGACATGTCCCCAAAGCCTAGCAAGGCGTAGGTGCTCAGAGAAGTTGTTCAGTCAATCGTTTTGGAAGAAATAGATGCTGTAGTGGGGAGAAGCGTTTGGAATCTGAATGAAGGGAGAGGCTTGGCTGCAAAACACTCTCTTGTCGCAGGAAACCAGCCAGAACTGCAAGTTAATTTCCAGTTGACAGCCAGTTGCTGGTGGAGCTCTGGAGGATGTGGGGGTGAGGGGAGAGCACCCATCAGGAGCGCTGCTTCTAACCAGCACCTTCTTTCTGCACTTCCTGCAGCTTGAGATTAAGAACCATGTATTCTTCAGCCCCATAAACTGGGACGACCTGTACCACAAGCGGCTAACTCCACCCTTCAACCCAAATGTGGTAAGAGGTCACAGCATTCTAGACTCTGGATTTCCAGGCTGGGGCAGCTTGCTGTGTGTGCCAACTCTCCTCATCTAGTTGGGAAAATTGGGGGTCCAGGAAGCTCAGTCATTTGTCCAAGGCTGCACAGTCAGTTAGAGGCAGAACTTGTCCAGACTGCAGGTTCAGCTCTTGGATAAAGGGCCATGTTGCTGCTCCTTTATCTTTAGCACCAATAAATAATCCTCACTGCAGAGCCTTTTACAATTTGTGAAGTGCTGTGTGTCACGGAGCACACCCACACAGGGCCAAGCCCTTTAGAGACATTTTATCTTTTCCTATTTGTAGACTTTTCCCTGGTAATAAAAATGACATATGTTCTTACAGAAAGTATGTAAAACACTGGCCAGGCGTGGTGACTCACGACTGTAATCTCAGCAATTTGGGAGGCCAAGGCCAGCGGATCACTTGAGATCAGGAGTTCAAGACCAGTGTAGCCAACACAGTGAAACCCCATCTTTACTAAAAATACAAAAATTAGCTAGGTGTGGTGGTGCACCCCTGTAATCCCAGCTACTCGGGAGGGGAGAATCACTTGAACCCGGGAGGTGAGGGTTACAGTGAGCCAAGATTGTGCCATTGCACTCCAGCCTGGGAAACAGAAGGAAATTTTGTCTCAAAAAAAGAAAAAGTAAAGAAAAAACAATATGTAAAACAGAAAAGTTTAAAGTAGCAGAAGAGAAATGCTTATTATGCCACTACTTAAGGAAAACCAATGGCATATTTCCTTCCAGTCACTTTTCTGTGTGTGTGTGTGTGTGTGTGTGTGTGTT